TGCTAATTTGCATAGGGAAGTGGTGCTAATTCAAAACAAAATTTAATTAATTTAATATTAGAGTCCAACTCTAATAAAATTGAATTAATATTTTAATTTAGGACAAAATTCCCAAACATAATAAAAATTCAATTAAGGGTCAAACTAAATATTTAAGTTAAAATCTAATTTTAACAAAAATATAAAAGTCGTCAAAATTTTTAAATAAAATTTTTAATTCTGGGTCAAAATTAGGGTATGGGTCAAACCCAATTTAAAAAATCATTTTAAAATAATTCAAAATTCAAAATTAAAACCCTTTTGAAATTTTACAAAAGTTATCCAAAATGAAATTAACAGCAGACCCTTCCAAAATCGGAATTTACAGAATAGGTCCCTGATTTAAAATTTGCAAATTGACCCCCTTTTGTGAAATTGCAACTAGGGGCCCCAAATTACATTAATTGCAACAGAGGCCCCCGCCTCCACCAAAACCCTAACCCTAAAAAAAAAAAATTTTTTCTTTTCTTTCACCGGCGCCGCCCGTCAGAAAAACAACCAGCAGCGCGGAGGCGCTGCTCTCCCGTTGCTGGTTGCAGCGCCTCGCGCTGCCGGTTTGCAGCGCGATGGTGCTGCTCCAGCAGCGCCCTCGCGCTGCAGGTTGCAGCGCCGGCACCGCCCCGCCCCTCGACCTAAAATTTTTTTTTTGTTTTTTGTTTTTCAAGAATAGATCCAAAAAGACAAAAAAAATTTAAACTATATTTGCTAGATTTTTGGAATGAACGTGATTAAACTAACATTTAATTTAATCAACACGTTAAACAGTTCTTAACAAATACAAAGTCGGCTCTGATATATATATATATATATATATATATCCTAGTTCTTGCTTTCACCAAGAATACAATCTTGAGTAGAAATGGATGCCCCTCCAGCATATCAAGTAATGAATGCATCTCGAGAGCCATCAAGTGCCTATGATCATATTCAATTACGCCGCGAACAAAAAGGCGGTACTTATGCTTGGTTTGTACCTTTATAATCACATATTTTCGAATTAATTTCACTTTTTATTCGTTAAAATGGTCCTTAATCTTCTTCTTCGACTTTCCTATGTCTGTAATTTGAAGCTTGTTTGCTTTGTGTTGCTGTTTCTGTTGCATCGAGACTTGTGAATGCTGCTTGGAGAACTTATGCTGCTGTAGGTTCCTCTGGGGTAGGAAAGAACCACTTCTAACATAGGATACTACTACCATTTAAGAATGAAAAGAAGTAGACTACTCTTGAGTTTTGTGTGAGAGCCTAGCTAGAGGATTGATGCTTTGGTAAAAAATGGTATTCTGAGTTTGAAGTTTCAGTAAACTACTATGTTTATTCTCCTTGTTTTTGATTAATTAGAGGTCAGGTCGAGCCTCCCTCTTAAATTGTACTTTATTTTAATATTTTCAAATAAATTGTGTCACCGAAAGTGGTTCTATGAAAAGGAAAAGTGACTATGTTTGCTCTTTGATAATTTGCTTATCTTCATCAGAAACACTATCCTACCCATCCCCAAGGGAAGGGGTTTTCTATTTTCAAAAGAGTAGCAAATTGGCCATTTTATATACTATAGCAAATCCCAAAAAATACAATTATTCACTGACAGTAGGCAACATGAATGCAGTTTTAATTCTAAAAGAGTTGCCAAATGCAAAGTTCATTCATGTCAAATTTATCTGACCAAACATTTCATTTCTTGAGTGATGTGAACTCAGATAGCTAGATTGCTATTAAAACCACAAAAGAATAATGCAAACTCCAAGAAAGTCAAAAATCAAAGTTTAGTACTCAATTCACAAATTTACGGACCAAACAACCAATAGTATATCAAACTATTGACCTTTTGATTCAATCCAACTAATTAATGAACCAAACAACCCCAAGATAACAAAGATACGAATGACCTTTTGATTATACAATTAATTGAATCTTACCCAAGTTGTTGAACGCCACAAGATGTTGAATTTTGATAAGTTCAGATTTGTTCCACACAAGAACAAGGATTGGAAGCAAAAGCCTCTCGAAGTAATTTCTCAAATATCAAAGTCTAAAAATTTACAATGCAAAATAAGTCCCTATTTATATGAAACCATAAAAACCCTAACTAAACTTGGCAAACACGTCCAAATATTGAAAGAAATAAGGAAAGATTAGAATTTTAGAAGAAAAAGGAAAATTGCAAAAATTTAAAAATCCGGCTTCAGTTTTGGCCTATGCGACCGCATAGGCTATTCTCATGCGGTCGCATAGACCACATGAAATTTGGTCTTTAGCGTCCTGTTGCCTCCCATGCGACCGCAAGCCAGGAACCACTATGCGGTCGCATAGTGGTTGATTTTGGCTCCAAGTTCGACCATTTGAATCAAGTGTCTCCAATCCATTTCGGCCTTCGTCTCCAACACTAACCTTGCTCCTTGGCATGTTGTCTTCAACCCCATGAACTCCATAGCTCCCATTGTCAATCATATGCCTTAAATCAACGCCAATTGGACTCTACTGCGCCCCTTCCTTATCAGCTTCGAACATGGAATCTTTGATCGGCTTTGGTCTAAGCAAGATCACATCAGACCCTCCCTCTTCAAGAGGATTCGTCTTCGAGTATTCAAAGACCTGGCACCTTCCATCTGCTTGGCCGTAACTTAGCTCTTGATCGTGATTTTGATATTCCACTACACCATGATTGAATATTTCTCCTTCCACGCTCCATAAATTCTCCAATTGCTCCATATCAATTGGATATTCAAAGAGTGGTTTCTTATTTAGAAAGTCCTCATGCAGCAAATATTCATAATCCCGCAACAAAGAATTGTGCAAACTGGGAAGGGATATGTTAGCATTCACCAACTCACTTCCACCACCAAGCTTACTCTTATTTACAAATAAGTTCTCCTTTCGTTTGTCTTTCATTTTCCCCACATCGTCTTTCAATCTCAATTGATCTTCATACACTTGTTGGGTGTCAAAGGTACAAATGTAATAGTTTTCCCATTCATGTAAAAAATGTACCTATTTCTAAACCCATCATGTTTCAACTTCCTATCGTATTGCCAAGGCCTACCAAATAATATATGCCCCGCATCCATTGGCACAACATCACACAATACTTCATCCTTATATCTCCCAATTGACAAATTCAATAACACCCTCTTGTTCACCTTAACCTCTCCACGATTATCCAACCACTATAATCTATATGGTTTTGGGTGTTTAATCGTTTTTATACCTAACTTCTCAATTAAATTGGTACTAGTTAGATTTGTGCAACAACCTCCATCAATTATTGAATTACATACCTTATTTTCCACGTGGCATCATTTGTGGAAAATGTTCTCCCATTGTTGCTCCTCTTGATCCATCTTGATTTGCGAATTGAGTGCACGCATCACCACTAATGCATCCCCTTCAACTGGATATTCCACCCCGTCATCATCACTAATATCTTCTAACTTGGATATTCCATCTTCATCACTGTTACTCACCACTTCCCCACTGTCCTTCAAAATCATGGCCCATTTGTTTGAACACTGAGAAACAATGTGTCCTGTTCCCAAGCACTTGAAGCACTTGATGTCCTGATTCCTAGATTGTTGTGGTTCCACCTTTGGTGAAACCTTGCTAGCATTGTCATCCTTTCCCCTGGGTGGTTCAATTTTATTGTTGACAACAACCCCATCAACCTTCCCTTTATCCCACCTAGACCTCCAAGATGAATTAGGCCCCTGTTGATTCCTAACTCCCCATTTTCTCTTCAATTGCCTCTCAACCTTCATTGTCACATGCAACATATCCTCTAGTTCCACGTAATGCTGCAATTCAACAATACTGGCAACGTCCTTGTTCAGCCCATTCAGGAACTGTGCCATGGTAGCTTCCCGATCCTCCTCCACATTAGCCCTAATCATTAGAATTTCCACCTTTTTATGGTAATCCTCCACACTTCCCAACCACTGGTACAAGCCCTGCAATCTTTGATGAAGCTCCCTATAATAGTGACCGGGCACAAATTGCTTTCTCATCATCGCTTTCAACTCATCCTAAGTAGTTATCGGACTCTCCATATTCCTCCGTCGTAAAGTGACCACCTGATCCTACCAAGTGATAGTGTAATCGGTGAACTCCAAGACTGCAAGCTTCACTTTCTTCTCTTCTGAGTAGTTGTGGCGCTCAAATATCAACTCCACCTTTTCTCTCACTAAAGAAATGCCTCTGAGTCACTCCTACCCCGAAATGTTGGAATTGACATTTTAATGCTACCCATACATCCATCACCGTCATTTCCCCCATAGTTCCTACCCCTTCATTCAAACCTACCACCACTATTCATCATTTGTCCCATTCATTGCCATACCCATGTTCATTTTGCACATCCACCTTAGGCTCTCATCTAGCTGGCCTCCTAGCATGTGGTATGTCTGCCCATTGGCCCCGGCTAAGGTTTGTAACCGTAGCATCTAGCCTATCTAACCTATTCTCCGCACTAATTATCATGAGCTCAAACCGCTGCATCATATCGTCTGTCATGTTATTTTGATTTCCCATCCTGCTCGAAGTGGATCCTTCCCGTTCTGACATTCTCACAAATTTTCTGCCTCACCAAAATTTCACTTGGGAATCACTTAATATTAGGCTTTTACCCTCAATTGAACTTACCACTTAGCCTTTTAACACTGCTTCCAATCAATGATCTCAAGAATAGTTACTCGGAGTAAACTTTTGGGATAACAATTGAATTGTGGAAGCCTCAAGATTAGGAAGTTGAAGGACTAAGAAATTAAATAATTTTTTTTGGAGGGACCAACTTTTTTTTTAAAAAACTTGTGAACAGTAACTGCGTACGGATGAATAGTGACGAACAGTAAATTTTTTTTTTAAAAAAACACAAAACAAATAGACTACTAAAACTTTTAGATCTAAGCCTCAAAATTAAAGGGAAACACGAAGAACAAAACAAAGACTCTAAAACAAGAAGAAAAAACAAAGGGATTTGATTCTTGTGCCTAAGCTCTGATACCACCTGATGTGAAATTAGATAGCTAGATCGCTATTAAACCCACAAAAGAATGACGCAAACTCCAAGAAAGCCAAAAATCAAAGTTTATGACTCAATTCACAAATTTGTGAACCAAACAACCAATAATATATCAAACTGTTGACCTTTTGATCATGAAAGTTATAAATCTAAGTCCAAATTTTTGGATTCAACCCAACTAATTAATGAACCAAACAATCCCAAGATAACAAATATACGAATGACCTTTTGATTACACAATTAATTGAATCTTACTCGAGTTGTTGAACACCACAAGATGTTGAATCTTGATAAGTTCAGATTTGTTTCCCATAAGAACAAGGATTGGAAGTAAAAGCCTCTCAAATTAATTTCTCAACTATCAAAGTCTAAAAATTTACAATTCAAAATAAGTCCCTATTTATATGAAACCATAAAAACCCTAACCAAACTTGGTAAACACGTCCAAATATTGAAAGAAATAAGGAAAGATTAGATTTCTAGAAAAAAGAGGAAAGTTGCAAAAATTCAAAAATCTGACTCCAGTTTTGGCCTAGGCGGCCACATAGGCTATTCTCATGCGGTCTCATAGACCACATGAAAATTCGGTCTTCAGCGTCCTGCTGTCTCCCATGCGAACGCAAGCCAGGAACCACTATGCGGTCGCATAGTGGCCGATTTGGCTCCAAGTTCGGTCGTTTGAATCAAGTGTCTCCAATCCATTCCGGCCTTCGTCTCCAACACCAACCCTGCTCCTTAGCATGTTGTCTTCAACCCCATGAACTCCATAGCTCCCACTAGCAATCATTTGCCTTAAATCAACGCCAATTGGACTCGACTGCACCCCTTCCTTCTCGGCTTCGAACATGGAATTTTTGATCGGCTTTGGTTTAACCAAGATCACATCATTGAGTCATATATATGTTAACATTTATATCATTGAACTACTAATTAATCTTTGTTTGGAGTTGGGAGTGAAGCGTTGGCGACAGTTAGCATCAGTAGTTATAAACGACAGTTAGGATGGGGCTGTGGGGTTTAAGTGGATGGGTAGGCGGAGATGGTGGTGAGCTTTCTCCAGCAAAATTAGTACAGATCAATTGCACCTAAAGATGATATGTTTAGGAGCTTAACATCAACAATTGTAAGTTGTAACTGAAAGGGAAAGTTTAAGTAAAAATGATGTAGAACATATTGTTGAATGGATGGAAGAGAAATTGAATAAAAAGGGGGAAAAGATAATAGTATAGGAAAAACATCCTAATTTTGGATTGGGCCCATAATAACATTCCGAGAAGAGGACGCTGAGACAAGCAATACATCGCGGAGCAATGGATTTCGGCCATTTGAGTTCGTTTAGGACTCGAAAATTGACTTTTAAAGTTTTGGTGTTGTTTCTGTTATTTATTTTATTTTGGATTTTTTTTTTCCAAATTTTAATTTGTTTAAACTTTGTTTTCATTAATTTTAGTTGTTTCAAACTACGTTTCCATGTAAGCCCTTATATTTAAGAGGCTATTTCATTGTTTTCATTGTCCTTCGATAATAAAATTCATGATTTTATTTACTTCATAATTTGGTGGATTTCAAATTACGTTTTCTTGAGGTTTTCGCTTGAATTCATTGTTTCGCACTGCGTCAAAAAATTAGAGATCATGTCCAATTTATCTTATATGAAACAACAAAGAAATTTCCATGCATTAAACTATCTTACAAATAATGGAGTTGTTCGCTTAGTGTATTTGATACAAATATTAATCAAATCTATATATGCTACAAATTACACAAACCTTCTTATAACCAAAAAAACATGGATTCTATAAATTGAATGTGACACATAAATGTACGTATAGGTGTTTCAAATGTTAAAATTCACAAACAAAATATTACGCTATATTTATAAAAAAGATCGAGATAACACAAGATTTTAACCATTTAATAGCAGCACCTAGTAAAACTCAGTAGACAAAGAAAATCATATTAAACTATTTCTAAGCAGGTTTGATACGATTATTGGACAAAGATGCACACTCTATCAAATTACTCAAACCTTCATATAGCCTAAAAATATGGATCTATAAAGCGCATGTGACATGAAAGTGCATGTGACATGTTCATATGTAGGTACTTCAAATACTCGACATGCACGAACAAATTACTCTGATACGTTTACAATAAAAATTCGGATAACACAAGATGTTAAACCATTTACTAGGCAATAAATTTCATTTTGCTACTCTTTTAATGAGACATATACAATAATCAATTACATTAGAAAATTAGTCCATCCTATAAGGTAAAAAAATATATGAAGATGATAGTAAAACTCAGAAAATTAGATTGAACTATCTCTATATAACTCTTCAATTTACACTTTCAGCCCATATACGTAAAAACTCTAGCAAAAAAATTACAGATGGATAGGTATAAAATCCTCATGATTTTCAGCACTAAATTTTTTTTCTTTCTTGATTTTGTCCATTCCAATCCATCAAGCATGGCGTATAGCAAACTTCTTCATCAACTTCGCATTGATTAATTCCCGCCTTATCCTCCTGGCTTCAGCACATTTGGCCCTTCTATCAGCAACAATTTTGTTAATATCGTCCTCCCGAAATGTGTCCTCGCTAGGGATGTTAAGATCAGGGCACTTATATCCTTCTTCTACTGTTATTATCTCCAATTTGTACTCGGTTTTGGTCTGAAAAATCAACCAAGAAACCGTGAATAAAATAGGGGATTCTTGAAGACTAAAATAAGGAATAGAAAATAAGATTTCAGAAAAAGAAATACTCCAAGAAATCAAAAAACACAAAAAGAATGTACAAAGACACATTTCATGCAGATATTTATAAATATTTTCCCGAAAAATGAAAATAAAAAAGGACAAGGAATTAGTTATAAAACAAAGCACACAAAAACTGGTGATTCTTGAAGGTTTACAATAAGGAATGAAGTATCAAGAAGAAAACAAAAACCAAGAAAGTCATCGAAATTCAAATCCATTCAAATTATAATAAGAATTACTGAAAAATCAAAAGAAAAATGAAAAGGAAATAGAGATTGGAACAAGAAAATACCCTTTTGTTGGAGCAATTATTTTCATCTGATTCACTAGACGAGAAACGGATAGGAAGTTTGGTGAATCTCCATATGATCTTGGGCCTTTTCTGTTCAATATTTAAAACAGACTTCGGTGACGATGAAGCTGCATCATGAGACGTGGATTGTCCTTCACCCTTGCTGCTTCTCTTTCTTTTGCAACCCCGTTTCGGTGGTTCAGAAACGTCGATCAATTTATGAAGATCAAGCAAAATTTGACTGACTTCAATTTCATCCTCCATAAAGAAAGCAGATAGAGGATTTCTTGATGTAATGCTGGTGCTCGCTTTCATAGTATTTCTTTTTGCAATCTCTCGTTAATTTTTTTCTTTATCTCAAGAACTTACCGAATTTTTTGCGTGAAACTAACTGTTTTAAGTGATTGATGAATGAATAAATGAAGACTAGTGGAAGTATTTAAAGTAAGAAATATATTTCCATGTCCATTTAGAACAGGGAGAACCTTAATAAGGTAACTTTGGAGCAATCCATTTAACAAAAACCTGGGAAAATTTATGATAAAGTCGGTAGCAAATTTGAATTTTTACCGGTAACTTGAAGTGCAACTCGGCAACTTATAAAAAAGATCGAAATAAATCCCTCAACTTTAAATGTATAACAAAAGAAGTAAAAGCCTCAGAATTTCGACCATTTCATTTATCTTCTTTCTTATTTGTTTATTTGTGAGATATTTTTATCTCAGCGATTATTTTCTACAAAGTTATTAATAACTTTAGATGATCTGAGCATAATTTAAACATGATTATATGTAGACCTGCATAAAATTTTATAGAACTAGTTGTAATTTAAACTTCTTCTGATTTCAATTTTACCTCTATTACTACTAAAATTAATTTCCTTTAATTCCATTGAAGTGGGCTCACACTATCCGAAGTGACCTCTTAAGATCGGACACAACACAAGACAATATAATAAATTCAATATAGTATTTAATCATATTTTTATTAAATCATGCAATAAAAATTTACTATTTGTAACTTTGTACGTGTAATGTTTCATGATAAACTGTATACAAGATCAGGGGCGGACCTTGACAATTTGGGTTAAGGGGTCAAAAATAAAATTTATAGGGTATCTTCTAATAAAAAAAAAACTAATTTTTTTTTTCTTTTTTCCAAAATCTAGAGGGTCAATTGACCCTATAATCCCCCTAGGTCCGCCCTGTACAAGATTATTCATGAAAAATAACGAGTCGCCATTTATAGTTTGAAATTGTTATCTAAGTTCTTACCATAGCAAATCATAATGTCTTTTTTCCCCTTCAATTTTCATAGTCAATGACTGGCATAATTTTCTTGTTCTTCAGTGTGCAAACTTGTTTGTTTAGTCAAAATTGTACTAGAATTTGGAGACCATAGGATGATTGTACCATGATTCTAGGGCAAAACTGCGTGCCATGTGCTTTAGTAAAATATTTGAACAAATATTTTAATTTTTTTTTTAAACTTATTTTTAATCGTAATTTTTCTCTATTTTCAGACTCAATAAAACAGTCAACCAAAATCTAACCGATGACAGACGGTGACATCCCAACACCACTACGCGGCTGACATTAGTCTCCCCCTCCAACCGGACTTTTCTGAGTAGACACTTCTTCAGTACTATTAGAACTGAAAAAGACACCTATGGAAAAATCTAATAAATTAAAAACGGAAGAAAGTCAAGAAACCAGTACTGTATCACTCGTGTTTCGTGTCTTCACTCTCATTTCTTCATCAATTTCGTGAAATCGAGTTTCGATAAATTCCCAGGAACACAATTCCCACCAGATTTTCTGTACAAATTTTATGTGGTTTTATTGAAATTACCCGTTACACTTTCCCATTTCCCCAATCCCGTTTTTCAGTTGGTAGGCACTCCAATTTTTGCAGTCCAAGATTTTGTTCTGATTCAAGGATTCTTCTATATTTTTTTTCTTTTCATTTTTAAGGATTATATCGTTAATTACCTTTATTTTTTCCTCCACTCTGTAATTTTTTAGCTGTGCAATTTGAAACTGAATTTTGGTTTTTCTGTTTCCATTTTGTGAATAGAAGTGATTTTTTGGATACATTCAATGGGAGGGGTATGTTCTGGAGGTGCAGTGTGCACTAAGTCAACTGCGGCTGAGCATGAGAAGACTACAGGGTTTTCAGGGAAGCTGAAGTCAACTGGAAATTTTGGGAAGCTAAAGAATGATAATTCTACAACGTATCCTGATAATACAGATGCTTTCGAGAAGGCGCCAGACAACCTATATGATTCTGGTGAATTGAACTTGTCAATCTCCCAGGAATTGAAGTCAGCGACCCCAGCTAGAAAACCAGTTAATAAGGTAGCAAACTATGTACAAAGATGTGTTTGTGCACGTCTGCATTTTATTTAATTCTTCTTATTATTTTTTTTGAAATGCTATATTAGTTTGATTGACCAATATCTTGTGGTAATGAGTGATCTCGGAGCTTCATAACGAAAAAAAGATCAGTACAAGAGAGCTGAATTTTGCGAGGATCGATTACTATGGACTAAAGCTCGAAGCCTTTTAGGAGTGACTATTTTATTTTAATTTTCGTGGGTATCACTGGTGCAAGAAAGTAAAATTGAAAGTTCCAAAGAAGTGCTTTTAAATAGATAAATTTCTTATTGGGAAGTTGATAATTTTGGTGGCATGCCACAAGTTATATGACTATAAATGGAGAAATATTTAGTTGCTTCGAGAGTAGCAATTTGTGTGGCGACATGGGGGCCAAAAAAGGAAAGAGAGCAATGGGGTTTCTCTCGCTTTTGGCATAAGATTAGCTACACGAACTCAACTGTTCCTTTTTTTTAGAGTACAAATGCCGGTATGCGGGAAAAGGAGTTAGCTCCTTGCATCGCCTTGAAGTACAAGGAGGGTGGGCCAAATGATCATGACAGGCTGATGTAGCAGGTATGGCTCTTTAAATCTTACTTCAGCTATTTTGATAGTTGATCAAATGGATAGTAAAAAAGGTTGAATCCCAACTTTGAGGGCTTCACTGCCCTGCCCCTAAAACTTTGTGAGGGAGGTAAATCGCGAGATGTGCCTCAATAGGTCAGGGAATAAGAGCTGCCTGTACACTGCGCCTACAAGGAGTCCAATTCCATGTCTTAGCAATCAAACCCTCATACTGCGGCTGTCGGCAAGGCGTGAGATAACCTCACTCCTATCCTTTGCACCACCGGGTTATGCTCCGAGGGGCAAATGGATAGTACTCAATATGGAGGAAGTGAGTAGAAGTGGGATTTGTTGACAGATGGCAAAAAGGTTGGGGAGGTGGGGGACCTCCGATGGAGTTTACCAAAAAAAGAATAAAATAAAAATAAAGGAAGCTTGCCAATACTTGAAGGAGCTTGTTCCAGTAAATATTTATTACAGCAATGCTTGATTAGACGGGCAGTCCAAGACCATGTTCATAAACAATGTGGTTGGTTCTGAGCTTGCTAGAGTAGACTATGCAACATCAAAAATCAAGGTGGAACATAAGATCTGGGAGATGCCATTACTTTCTTATTGTATAAAATACAATGAAGTTTAGAGGTATATTGATCTTGGGATTCAAGATCGAATGTGACTTATATATATATATATATATATACATATATATATATTTTTTTTTTTTTTACTTTTTTTTTTGATTTAAATACATTCTTCTTTTCTCCTTTGAAAAGAATGACCTGAAAGAATCTTTTCTTGGTTTAGAAGATGCCACTGTTATTACGATAAGGAAATTTGCATGTTATTACAACAGGCACCACAATTGAGCTCATTTCTTGGTAAGGCTGGCATAGTTGGCTTTGAGAAGGCAGTGGAAGTTCTAGATACACTGGGCAGCAGTGTGACTAATTTGAACTTTGGTGGATTTACGTCTGGTGTGGCTTCAAGGGGAAATAAAATATCTATATTGGCATTTGAAGTTGCAAATACTATTGCCAAAGGTGCAAACTTGGTGCAATCTCTTTCTGAAGAAAATATCCATTTTTTGCGCAAGGAAATTTTACATTCAGAAGGGGTACAAAGGTTGGTTTCTACAGATATGAACGAGCTTCTTAGGATGGCAGCTGCTGATAAGAGGTACTGAGTTGTTTGTCTAGGATGTGGACCAATCTTGCTTACAAATACTCTCTCTCCTTTCTTCCGCCTTTCCAGTCCTCTTCTGTCTTTTTTCAGTTCCTACTCTGTCAAAGAAATTTTAGTTGGTTTTCTTTTATTAAACTTTTCAATTTGCTTCTGTATTATGTAGGGAGGAATTTGATGTCTTCTCTCGCGAGGTTATCAGATTTGGGAATCTCTGTAAAGATGCACAATTTCACAACCTCGATAGATTCTTTTCAAAGTGCGTTGGGATGTATTTCATATATTTTGCAAGTTATTCTTGTCTTTAGAAGTTGAAGAAAGATATTCACCAAAATGGCTCTTACATGTTAGGTTGGATTCAGATCCTGATGTTCACAAACAACTAAGAGAAGAGGCCAAAATGACAATTCAAGAGTTGACCTCTCTAACTCGACATACTTCTGTGAGTTAAATCCTGTGCCGGAGCTATTAAAACTAGAATTGAGATGGAAAATATGAATGTTCTTTTGGTCCTATTAGCTATGAGGATGCAAAATAATTCATTATAGATGATCATGTTGTACCAAAGAGTGTCATTGTAGATATTTACGTTCCACTGCAAATGAAAAAGGAAATTGATGAAGATGTAATGCATGTAACTGGACTATGTTGGATGAAATGAAGATTTTCATTAGGGCCTTATTAGGTTGACAATGAAGATAGTTTGCCAGGTTGTCTCACATCTCAAACAAACATATGAATTCGACGGAGATCCATAATGAAATTATATTGAAGACTTGCCAAGTTTGAATACTTATTTCAGATAGAGAAATTAGGACTTAGTTTGAAAGATTTACTTATTGTGTTTCCTATTTGAACTAGGTTAATTAAAAACCCAATATATATAGAAAGTTAATTTGTTTAGAACTAACTTTGATAATATGATTATTGAATAATGTACAATCTCTCTATTTATGTGCTTTCTCTCTTCCTCTCCTTTTCTTACCCTCTCTCTCTCTTTTCTCTTCCCATCCCCTTCCCCACTCTTACTTCTTCCCCCTTCTCCATTTCTCCTATCTTCTTATATAGCCCCTGTTTGGTGCCCATTGTTTTCAAACTCTTTTTGCTATTATTTTCAACCACACATTCACATAATAAAATATTCCACCCTTAAATCCAAAATTCTTCCCTACTTTTTAACCACACATTCTCCTAAGAATACTTTTCAAAACCACCTTTTTTTTGGGTTTTTTGGCACCAAAGAGGGGCATAGTTTAAGCTTCGGTTTTGTGCGTCTGCATCATAATTTCTCCAAAAGCTGTCTCATGAATGATCAATGACATGGACTTCGATGAATGAAAAATCAACAGAAAATACCACAAGCCAGTCTAACCATCTGCCATAATATTTAGTCTAGAATAATACAGATTTATATCATCTTTCTTTATAGAAAATTTGAAATATTTAGTCTAATGTTAAGGACGAGAGGCTAACTCCTGCTGTGGTCGCAGGAGTTGTATCACGAGCTGCATGCTTTGGACAGATTTGAACAAGATTATCAGCAGAAGGTAGAGGAAGTAGATTCTTTACACCTCCCTCGAAAAGGTTAGACAAACTGGCTTTCCTTTGAATAAGGTGTTCTTTAAATTGACAATTCTTTGATTTGATCTGCTTTTCTTTGTACTGTGGTAGCCGTGGCTGTAGGTTAAGGTATATGTTATTCTTTTGATGGTGAACTCTGAGACATTGGAATATTCATGTTCAAGTAGAGTTGGCTCAAGGTTTTGTTTCCCATTTATAAGCATAATGTTATGTTCCATGCAACAAATTTAGAGAAGAAAAGTAAATGGTTGTAATTGAAGAGTGATGTGATAGAACCCCAGATTAATAGTTCAATTGTCATTTGCTTTGGGGTACTATGGGGATTCAGGAGAATAAATGGTATAGGCAGCCGTTTATCTATAAATAGGGGAGGTTAGATTTTCATTTAGGGACATTCAGAAAATGAGATAGAGATATTGGGGAGAGAGGCAGCCTCTCGAAAGCTGTCCATTTTTAGTTCCTTTTTATTCCTTTGAGTAGTACAATTTACTTTCAATAGTCTCTGCAATTTTATCCAATGTAATCCGCCTACAGCAGCTTTGTTTCTTCTGCAATCAACCACAATTCTGCAGCAATAGTCAGGAACCTACCATGATGCAACTCTTATCAGGACAAAACTCACTTTCTACTACTATAATGATATAATCTTAATTGACAGGTCACTTATTTATTTTTCTTTCTTGTAATTGTAGGAGAGAGCCTCGCAATGTTACAAAGTGAGCTCAAACATCAAAGAAAACTTGTGCTGAATTTGAAAAAGAAATCACTTTGGTCTAAAAGTTTGGAGGAGGTACTTGATTATTTCACTTGTTTTCATCATAATTGTTCATATTAATTTGAATGTCAAAGAACACATGCGATTTTTGCTTCTATATTTCTTCTTGAAGCAGTATATTTTACATCATGATCCTACCTTTACATTCTCAATGTTTGACATAGCAACCTTTTTTGATGTGGATGACACGATCAAATTATATCTCTTTTTTAAGGTTTATGGCAAATATTTAAGCTTCTAAAAATTCTCTCTATTGAAGTGAGAGAAAATTTCTTATCTCGCATATCATTATTTTATATGGGGATATGAAACGTCTCGAATTGATTTGGTTTGATATTTTACATGTGTAGGTTGTCGAGAAGCTTGTTGATGTCGTTAGTTTCATTCATCAAGATATTTTAGAATCATTTGGAGATAATGGTATGAATGCATGCTCAATGTACTTTCTCTTTTCTTTCAGTTTATTTTCTCTTTTATACAGGATAGAGGGAGTTTTGCATGCTTCAGTAATAGCTTATGTTTATGCCATGGCTGTGGATGCATGAAATAGTGACAATAAAATTATATATCAGTTTAATGGAAACCATAGATGACTACAGGTTTGTTTCGCATGCATATGTTTATTGTAGAAGAGCTTTTTAGGGAAGCTACTTTAGGCTAACTTCTTTTAAAAGCTTTCTAGCTGGGTAAAGCACTTCCAAAAAATTATCCAAATATGTCAAAAGCTAAACTTCTTAGTCTTAGAAGCAACTTTTGGCTTTTCAAAAGCCTTGCCGAAGGGGGCCTAGGTTTTGTTCTTTTTTCATCTGAACTCATCCAGCAATGCATATCTTTTATTTTATTCTCAACAAATTTAATATACAACCGGTCTTCGAGAGCTCCAAAACTCTAATAGTTATAATCTAATTACATCACTGCTGCATTTAGGACTTCTAAGACTTGCTTTCTCCTAAAGTTCCATGATGTTCTACTACCTCATTCTTCAACTCCTTAAAACCTAATACAAAATTTCTTGCGTGCGAATTTTCCTCTGGAAAAGGACTCCATTTGGACTGGCATTAAAATCCCATGTGACATCTGATAACTAAGGTTATTGTTGAGAAGTCCTCCCTTAACCTCTCTGCTGTGGGATGGGTAATTTCATTTCCAGGGCTTGAATTCTTCTTGTATAAATGGGGACACTTCAAATTTCTGTGGCTGAAGAATAATATTTTTAATGCTATGTCCTCGCATCCCATAAGAATATGAGGTTCCCTTGGCCACAGATTTACTCCATTTGCCACTCTATTTTTATACGAGCATGCAGTTTGATTTTGGGACCTTTTGTGCTATTGGATTAGAACAATCCATGGTTCTCCGTTGCTCAGAAGAACATACTGTTGTTCTCATCCATCCTTTATTTTAATATCTTGGAAAAATTGCACCTTTTTTCTCCAACCTATTGTTTTAGCAAGTTGTTCCCTAACCTTTAAAGAAGACCAAGTTAGTTCTTGATCTATCATCATAGTTACACAATCAATCCCTAACGATGGAAACCATCTAAATTGTGTGAAACATAGCCCCTTCAAATTTCTGTCATTAGCCCAAGTTGGAAAAAAAACCTAGCTTCATAAAGTTAGATTTGAGGGTCACATGATAATGTAGTAGAGTTTTAGGCGGATTTCATTGTCGTGTACTGATTATGCAACTAGAATGAAAGGCTGAGCAACTTGCTGCTTTTGAAAGGTTGGGGTCAAGTTACTTCTGTGGCAATAGCCAATAGGTTGGGGACGAATGCGTTTTAGATTTATATTCTCTTACTTTCAGTTTTGTACACTATATGCCCAGGGTTGACATCTTCTGGCAAGGCGTCTGCTAACAAACCAGAAAGGCTAGGTGTTGCTGGTCTTTCTTTACATTATGCTAACATAATTACTCAAATCGATAATATTGTAAGTCTAATACTTCATTTTTTTGGCAGCATAATGTGTATTTTCTCCAACTGAGTTAATCTTTATAAATTCAATTATAATTTAGGCATCACGTCCAACTTCACTTCCTTCTAATATGAGAGATGCATTGTACAATGGGTTGCCACCAACTGTTAAAAATGCTCTCCGCTTCCGATTGCAAACCATTGACACCGAGGAAGAGGTATGCTTTTTCTTTCCCCGTTCAGTACACCAGATATGTTCTTCAAGGTAGTTTCTTTGCATTGTCATCCTCTATTTTTTAGCGGGCCATATGTCTTCGCAAACAGACTAAGTGTCTTGTCTTAGTCAATCTCATAGATATTTTTGTTTTGAGTGGAGGATGTTGAGGGAGGAGGACTCCGAAGTTGTTTATTTCTGCGAGGTTTCGTATGGTCATCTATGCAATCTTTACAAATGTTCAGCTAAGCTTAAAAGTTTACATGCAAGTAAATTAGTAAGTTTCAAAATAAGCGAATCTTTCATTGATCAAAATTAAGGTCAGAATTATTTCAAAATAATGGCTTGTTTGGGAGAGATTTTAAGTCACATTATTTTGATTGTAAGGTAAGAATTTACTTCCAAAATAATGGATTCTTTGGGAGAGATTTTTCAAAAATTATTTTCAACCACACATTCTACGGGACTTGTAACTTTGCCTACATTTTAACTATAATTTCTCCCACAAAAAAGGAAGAAAATTTCACTTGGAAAAATCTCTCCCCAAACAAACGCTTTACTTCTTGTTACCTACTGAAAGAAAGAAAAAATAGCTTCTTTAACAAAAAGTTACCTCTTGCTTCTTTTTTTCACCCCTTGGGATTGATAATTTCAGATTCTCTGTTTTCCTTTAAATTTTAGCTTCTTTAGATTGTGTCTTTTGCAGCTCACAGTTCCTAAAATCAAAGCTGAGATGGAGAAAACTCTCCAGTGGCTAGTTCCAGTAGCAACGGATACTATCAAGTACGTGATGTATTTGGCGTATCTTTGTTTATCATATCATTTTTGTAATTATAAGTGTATATTTGTTTATCATATCATTTTTGTCTCAACTTCGTAATGTACTCACACTACGATCTCTCCCATGGTGCCCACTTTGAAACAGAGCACATCAAGGATTTGGATGGGTCGGAGAGTGGGCAAATGCTGAGTTAGTCAAGAGCTCTTGTTTAGTATGTTATTTGCAAAGAATATCAGACAGAGATAATTAACGACTATACATGTTCTTATTGCAGAAACGAGTTTGGAAAGAAAACAGGCATGCCAAATAACCTGATTCGCTTGCAGACACTTTATCATGCGGACAAGAAGAAGGCTGACTCATACATCCTCGAGCTTGTGGCATGGCTTCATCGTCTTGTTAGCCGTGTAACATATAGAGATAATGGACTCAGGGCTCAACCAGTGCAATTTTCAACTCTCAGAGGATCAAATGCATCGTCATCAGGCAACAATGTTGAAATTCATGAAGTCCAGCTTTCTCCCGACGATAAAAATTTGTTGGACGAGGTTGTGAAAAGAAAGAACTTGGCCCCCGGACTAAGCAAAAGCCAGGAATTCACAACGGTGAAGAAGAGGAAGAATAAGGTTTGGGCATTGAGTAGGAGCACCGGGAATTCTCCCCGTAGAGGACTGGAACACCTGAAGGGTAACGTTTTGGATATATTAGATGGGTTAGATTCAACTTTTTTGGCTCCTGGAGAAGATAGTAGATGAAGGGATCATTCTTTTATTTCATTTCGATTGTAATATATAAGAAATATGAGCTTTCACGTATATATCCCTATCTTAGGAGTTATATTGTATCGTGAAAATTGAAATACTATACACTCGACGAAGCAAGTGAAAGCTCCACAACATTTGAATAGCAATTTATTCATAATCTGTGTAAATTTACAGACAACAGCTTCTAATGTCAATTAAGTTGAAGGATAATTGTGTTGAGTCCCCAATCTTTCTACTGGAGTGAATGACAGGTAGAATCTGATTGCTTGAACTTAAGATTTTTGTAAATTGGAATAGCTTATATGATAGTGTACTATTGGAACAGTGCTTACAAATAAATTAGTCAGAGGTTTAAAGGAGCCAGTGATGTCCTCCTGAAAAGTCTTGGTGAATTTTACGCCTGTATGGATGAGTCGTGGAGGATGATAATGAATTATCACTCTAGAACCCAGATAGCAAAAAATGATGTAAAATTCAGTCATTCTATTCGGTGGGGAAGAATAGTGCACGATGAGAACGAAGTTACTAGGAAAGTAAGTCCTTCATATCTACAAGGACTAAGCCTAATTGGAGAATGATGTTATGCAGCATAACTGATGTTATTAATTGATAAATACTTTAAATGCAAGGTTATGGTAACATTTAAAGCATTTATTAATGGATATCACTTAATTGTCACTTAGCCTGATGTTCGAGATCAATTGTACTGTACAATATTACTCGTAATCAGATGGTGGCTAGGACTTCTTGATGATATAAGTGGGTAAATTCTTGTATGATGACATCGGTTAGAGATTTTGAAGGGAAAAATAGTTGAACTAACTAAATAACAGAAGTTATGTTAGGA